ACGTGGGCATCTCTGCTTTTAACGTACATATGTGTACACAGTCCAAGTGATAGAACATCAGGATTAGCAGGGGCTGGGAGGGCAGAGGAGGCAGCACCACCTGATATTTAGGTGGAAGAATGGCTGGGAGTTGCCAACATGTGGAATGAGGGACAAGTCAAAGTTGTCCCTAAGATTTCGAGTTTGGGCAATGGTGGCATGGTAAGCTAAGATCAAGGATATAAGGGCAAGAAGGGCTTTCAAGCTGGGAGCATTTAGGAGAGCATGGGAGGATAATGCACGTGTTTTGGACATGTTAAGGTGCTTATAGGGTATCCACACAGAGAGGTCTGGGAAACAAGGAATACATGTGGGCTGGGTGTGGTGGCTCATGCCTGCCATCCTTGTCTTCTGGGTAGCTGAGGCAGGAGAACTGCTTGAGGCCAGGAATTTGAGATCAGCATGGGCAACAATGTAAGACTGCATTTCTACAAAAAAATTAAGGCCAGGTGTGGTTTCTTATGCCTGTAAAATCCTGGCACTTTGGGAGGCCAAGGTGGGCGGATCACAAGGTCAGGAGTTCAAGACCAGCCTGGCCAGCATGGTGAAACCCCATCTCTACTAAAATAATACAAAAACTAGTCAGATGTGGTTGCACATACCTGTAATCCCAGCTACTCGGGAGGCTGAGGCAGGAGCATCTCTTGAATCCCGGAGGCAGAGGTTTCAGTGAGCCAAGATTGTGCCACTGCACTCCAGCCTGGGCAACAGAGCAGGACTCTGTCTCAAAAAAAAAAAAAGAAGAGATTAATGTGGTGCTTTTCTGGAGCTGGAGGCTATTGATGTGGGTGTGGGAATTACTACTTGGCAGAGTTCATCTCTGCCTGTTCCAAAGTCCATTGTGAGCATTGCCAGTGATTTCTTCAGCTCTCGTGAGATTGGGGCAGGAGTGCTACCATCTTCATGTCAGGCTGTCTTAGTCCATTTATTTTGCTATACCAATACCACAAACTGGATAATATTTAATAAAAAATTTGGCCGGGTGCAGTGGCTCACACCTTTAATCCCAGAACTTTGGGAGGCCGAGGTAGATGGGTCACTTGAGGTTGAGAGTTCGAGACCAACCTGACCAACATGGAGAAACCCCGTCTCTACTAAAAATACAAAATTAGCTAGGCGTGCTGGCGCATGCCTATAATACCAGCTACTTGGGAGGCTGAAGTAGGAGAATCACTTGAATCAGGGAGGTGGAGGTTGTGGTGAGCACAGATCACGTCATTGCACTCCAGTTTGGGCAACAAGAGCAAAACTCCGTCTCAAAAATAAATAAAATAAGAATTAACTAATAAAAAAAAATTATTTCTCATGGTTCTGGAGGCTGCAAAGTCCAAGATCAAGGCACCAGCAGATTGAGTATCTGGTGAAGGCCTGATCTCTGCTTCCAAGATGGGTCTCTCTTATATGGAAGGTGGAAGGGGCAAAAAAGGGTCAACACTGTGTGAAGCCTGTTTTAAAGTCTTTAATCCCATGCATGAGGGAGGAGCCCTCATGACCTAATCACGTCCTAAAGGCCCTGTCTCTTCATACTATTTGCATTGGGGATTAAATTTCAACATGGATTTTGGAGGGACATAAACATTCAAACCATGGCAGAAACTCTGCAGAGCCATTTTACTGCTGAAACTTGCAGGTGGGGTTATCACTTATTTAATAAAGATGACCTTTGCTGTATAGATGATACCTAGCAGATGTTGAATAGGACAGTTTCTGTTTTTTGTTTGCTTTTTTGTTTGTTTGAGATGGAGTCTCACTCTGTCACCCAAGCTGGGGTGCAGTGGTTCGATCTTGGCTCACTGCAACGCCTAGCTCCCGGGTTCAAGCGATTCTTCTGCCTCAGCCTCCCAAGTAGATGGGATTACAGGTGCCCACCGCCACACCTGGCTAATTTTTGTATTTTTAGTAGAGACAGGGTTTGGCCATGTTAGCCAGGCTGGTCTGGAGCCCCTGACCTCAAGTGATCTGCCTGCCTTGCCTCCCAAAGTCCTAGGATTGTTACAGGCATGAGCACACTGTGCCAATTTTTCTGTTGGTTCTTTTTTTTTAATGAAACGAGTTTCGCTCTTCTTGCCCAGGCTAAAGTGCAATGGCACGATCTTGGCTCACCGCAACCTCCACTTCCCCAGTTCAAGCGATTCTCCTGCCTCAGCCTCCTGAGTAGCTGGGATTACAAGCATGTACCACCACACCTAAGTTTTTGTATTTTTAGTAGAGACAGGGTTTCTCCATGATGGTCAGGCTGGTCTCGAACTCCTGACCTTAGATGATCTGCCCACCTCGGCCTCTCAAAGTGCTGGGATTACAGGCATGAGCCACCATGCCTGGCCTCCTTTTCTTTTTTTTTTTTTTAGCGGGGTCTGGCTATGTTGCCCAGGCTGGAGTGCAGTAGCTATTCACAGGCGCAATCCAAACTCCCGTGCTGGCCTCCTTTTCTTTTATTTCTTTCTTATTTTTTTTGAGACAGAGTCTTGCTCTGTCGCCCAGGCTGGAGTGCAATGGTGCAGTCCTGGCTACTGCAACCTCCGCCTCCCAGGTTCAAGCAGTTATTCTGCCTCAGCCTCCCAAGGAGCTGGGATTACAGGCGTGTGCCACCACATCCGGCTAATTTTTGTGTTTTTTTAGTTGAGGCAAGGGTTTCACCATGTTGGCCAGGCTGATCTCAAATGCCTGACCTCAGGTGATCCGCCCACCTCGGCCTCCCAAAGTGCTGGAATTACTGGTGTGAGCCACCAGTAATGCTTAGCCCGCAGAATGCTTAGCATGTTGTAAGTTAGTTGTTCTTCCTTCCGTTTCCAAAGCATTCCCGCCTCCTCCATCCCAGCATGTGCTTACGCTTCTTCAGATCTGCGGGTCTGGGTGGGCACCCCACCCACACGCGGTCTCCTGCTCTTCCAGTCCTCACCCTGAAGACCTTCTTCTAGTCACAGATCTAGTCATTTTTGCCACGGCTACTCTTGAACTCTTTATTGACCTCTGCACTTGCTTCCTCTATTAGGATCTAGCAGACATCTGTAGACTTCTAGCAGACATATGTTAGACGTATCAGGTGGTCAATATTTTAGGCTTTGCAGGCTGGCGACTGAACTCTGCATGAAAATAACCACAACGTATAAAGGAATGAACGTGACTGGGTGCCGTGCTGAAATCATCTCCTTCCCAGGGTCGTTGTCTTTGAGCTTTCCCCCCAATCATTGAAAATGTAAAAACATTCCTAGCTTGCAGGGGACATGAGAATAGGCAGCAGGCCAGAGGTGACGGTGACTTAGGAGGCCTGTTGGCAGATTTTTTTTTTTTTTTTTTTTTGAGACGGAGTTTCGCTCTCGTTACCCAGGCTGGAGTGCAATGGCGTGATCTCGGCTCACCGCCACCTCCGCCTCCTGGGTTCAGGCAATTCTCCTGCCTCAGCCTCCTGAGTAGCTGGGATTACAGGCACGCGCCACCATGCCCAGCTAATTTTTTGTATTTTTAGTAGAGACGGGGTTTCACCATGTTGACTAGGATGGTCTCGATCTCTTGACCTCGTGATCCACCCGCCTTGGCCTCCCTAAGTGCTGGGATTACAGGCGTGAGCCACCGCGCCTGGCCTTTTTTTTTTTTTTTTTAAACAGTCTCCCTTTGTTGCCAAAGCTGGAGTGCAGTGGCACGATCTCAGCTCACTGCAACCTCTGCCTCCCAGGTTCAAGCAAGTCTCCTGCCTCAGCCTCCTGAGTAGCTGGGGCTACAGGTGTGTACCACCACGCCCGGCTAATTTTTGCATTTTTAGTAGAGACAGGGTTTTACCAAGTTGGCCAGTCTGGTCTCAAAATCCTAGCCTCAAGTGATCCGTCCACCTTGGCCTCCCAAAGTGCTGGGATTACAGGTGTGAGCCACCGCGCCCGGCTGTGTCTAGTCATCTAATCCTCTGGGCTGGAGTTGGCGAGTGTCAGAGACAAATCTTCACCTGTCTTCTCAGAACACCATATTCAGAGAAGGCCACTCAGGACAGATTTGTCAGGCTGTTTCAAATGCCCAGGTCTGGGATGGGATGCCCTATCTGTGGAGGATTTTTTTTTTTGAGACAGGGTCTCACTCTGTTGCTCAGGCTGGAGTGCAGTGGTATGATCTCGGCGCATTGCAGCCTCTGCCTCCCGGGCTCAAGTGACCCTCCTACCTCAGCCTCCCGAGTAGCCGTGTTACAGGAAAGGGGTCCTGATCCAGACTCCAAGAGAGGGTTCGTGGATCTCACACAGGAAAGAATTCAGGGTGAGGCCATAAAGTGAAAGCAAGTTTATTAACAAGGTGAAGGAACAAAATAATGGCTACTCCATAGACAGAGCAGCCCCGAGGGCTGCAGGTTGCCCATTTTGATGGTTATTTCTTGACGATATGCTAAACAAGGGGTGGATTATTCAAGCCTCCCCTTTTTAGACCATGTAGGGTAACTTCCTGCCATGTAACTTTGCCATGGCCTCTGTAACCTGTCACGGTGCTGGTGGGAGTGTAGCAGTGAGGACGACCAGAGGTCACTCTCGTCACCATCTTGGCTTTGGTGGGATTTGGCCGGCTTCTTTACTGCAGCGTGTTTTATCAGCAAGGTCTTTATGACCTGGATCTTGTGCCGACCTCCTGTCTCATCCTGTGACTTAGAATGCTTTCACTGTCTGGGAATGCAGCCCAGTGGATCTCAGCCTCATTTCACGCAGCTCCTATTCCAGATGGAGTTCCCCTGGTTCAAATGCCTCTGACAGCTGGGACTACAGGAACACACCACCACGTCCAGCCATGTTTTGTACTTTTTGTAGAGACAGGGTTTCACCATGTTGACCAGGCTGATCTTGAACTCCTGGACTCAAGCAATCCATCCGCCTTGGCCTCCCAAAGTGCTAGGGTTACAGGCATGAGCCACCACACCCAGCCCACTTGAAGGCTTTTTTTTTTTTTTTTTTTTTTTTTTTTTTTTTTTTTAATGAAGAGAAAGAGAAATAGAGAGAGAGAGGGAGGGAGACTTTACACTCTGTTGTCTTCAAATTCTTTATTACTTTACCTTCTTCCCTAGCCTATCCTTCCCTAGCCTTGGGGACCCAGTCCTAAAGCCCAAGAGACCCTCAATGGAACTTGACTTCTGTATAATCCGCCTGGGTGCCCTTGGGCATCTGGGTCTCAGGCCTGGGTCTGAGGCCTGGAAAGTTGAGCGTGGCATAATGGAGCTCTTCTCGGCTCTCCTGGGATTCTGGTGCTTGAGTGGATGATTTGGGTTCTGGGCAGCTGAACAACAGATACGGCTTTTTCTGGTTCTTCTTTGATTCTGGGCAGGGAGCACCTGGTGGAGGAGGTGTCCGAGAAGGGCTGCTTGATGTGGCCTTCTCATTCCGATTCTGAGCCTGAGGGACGAACCACCATCCTTCATTCATTCATTCAGCAAATATTTGAGCACAGGTTGGGCACTGATTTCATTTATTTATTTATTTATTTTTGAGGCGGGGTCTTACTCTGTTGCCCAGGCTGGAGTACAGTGGCGTGATCTCGGCTCACTGCAACCTCTGCCTTTCAGGTTCAAGCGATTCTGCCTCAGCCTCCTGAGCAGCTGGGACTTCAGGCACATGCCACCACACCTGGCTAATTTTTTGTATTTTTAGTAGAAATGGGGTTTCATCATGTTAGCCAGGATGGTCTCAATCTGCTGACCTTGTGATCCCCCTGCCTTGGCCTCCCAAAGTGTTGGGATTACAGGCGTGAGCCACTGCGCCCAGCCATTTGGGCACTGATTTATAGCACCGAGTGAAACAAAGTCCCTGCCCTTGCTTTGCTGAGCTTGCGTTCCATCTTGGAAGCAGGAACAGAGGATACTTAGTAAAAGTACCATAACTGGTAAGTGACAAATGACATCAAGAAGTTTGAGCACTGTCAGAAGTCAGCAAAAGGGAGGGTGGGATGACTGTTTAACAGGGCATCCAGGGAAGTTCGAGACCAGCCTGGTCAACATAGCGAACCCCCATCTCTATCAAAACTACAAAAATTAGCCAAGCATGGTGATACATGCCTGTAGTCCCAGATACTCAGGAGGCTGAGGCAGGAGAATCGCTTGAACCTGAGAGGTGGAGGTTATAGTGAGCTGAGATTGTGCCACTGCACTCCAGCCTGGGCAACAGAGTGAGACTCCATCTCAAAAAAAAAAAAAAAAAAAAAAAGAAAGAAAAGAAATGCTGATTAGACACCCACATAGGGATGCTGCATAGACAGCCTGCACTTCAGGGAAGAAGCCAGGAGATACAGTTTTAGAGTCATCAGCATAAGATGTTATCTCCTAATAATTTCCAGCATTTACAGAGTATTACCCAGGGGCCTGGTGATATTCTGAATATTTTATTATACAAGGACAATATATTTAACATCTAGCATCATCCTAGGAGGTGGCCACTAGTATTATCCCCATGTTACAGCTGAAGAAATTGAGGCACAGGGAAGTTAAGATCCTTGCTTCATCACACAGTGGTGGAAGCAGGATTTGAACCCAGGCAGGCTGACTTCAGACCCCTCTGCTGAGACTCTAGGCTGTACAGTCTCCTGATGATATGAATAATTGTTAAGCAGTTAAGTGTAATTAGTAATTGGTGATGGTAATAATGGAATAATGGCTACATATTGAGAAAGTGCAGGTGTTCTAATCCTCAAACCAACTCTCTCTTTTATTTCTTTTTTTTTTTTTTCAAGACGGAGTCTCGCTCTGTTGCCCAGGCTGGAGTGCGGTGGCGTGATCTTGGCTCATTGTAACCTCCGCCTACTGGGTTCAAGCAATTCTCCTGCTTCAGCCTCCCGAGTAGCTGGGACTACAGGCGCCTGCCACCACGCCCAGCTAACTTTTGTATTTTTAGTAAAGATGGGGTTTCACCATATTGGCCAGGCTGGTCTCAAACTCCTGACCTTGTGATCTGCCCATCTCAGTCTCCCAAAGTGCTGGGATTGCAGGCGTGAGCCACCGCGCCCAGCTTAATCCTCAATCCAACTCTCAAAGGAGACAGGAAGAAATGAAGGCTCAGAGCGGGTGAGGGATGTGACTGAGGTCTCAGCTAGTGCCAGCCAGGATATGAATTCAGTGCTACTGCTGGTGGCTTTTCCCACCTTGATGTCCCTAAGACAAAGGGTACGAAAGTCAGAAAGCGGATGTGAGCTTTAGAGGAGAGGCAGCATGGCCCAGACACTCACCGGGGGGCCAGCCTTCGGGACCACGTTGATGTAATCCAGGATGGTGCTGTGCCGAGAGAACCCGGGCCTCAGGGTCTCTGCCTGAGTTTGTTTCTTCAGTGGAATCTTCATGCTGAGGAAACAAAGCCACCTGTTTGTGCACTGCTGCACCTCTCCTCTTCCTGGGTCCAGACCCCAGACCCCGCCACTCCTCCTTTTAACCTACATGATCTGGGAGAGGCAGAGGAGAAGAGCCACGCTCATGACTCCCAGAACCACTCCGATGAAGAATTCCTTTGAGACCAGTCCCTTCTTATCTGCACACGGAGAGAGTCAGGTGGGCATCTCCCATCCACATGGGGCTCACGAAGCCCACTCCTCACTCGGCCTTCAGGCTTCCATTGCCCAATGTAGACACTGAATCTGCAACTCCTCTGTTTACTCTGAGGTGGAGTCTCGCTCTGTTGCCCAGGCTGGAGTGACCCAGCCCAGGCGTCAGGACTTTCCATTGTGTCTTCCTGTCTACATACAGATGCCACGGCTCTCCTGTGTCCCTCCCAGCTCCTGCTCCAATCACAGGACCCTGCTCTCTGCCCCATTCAGCTTCTCCAAGAATCTCAGCATCCAGGCGGCCCCCTAACCTGGCAGCTGCAGGATGGAGCTGCTCTGGGCCCCATGGACATTTCAGGCCTCACAGCTAAGCCTGAGGCCTGAGCTGAGCCCTCCATGGAGGCTCAGGGAGCTGTTGGCCCAGGGCCCGGCTGAGCTGGGGGTGACCCGGAAGGAGTCCTGGCTGCTGTTCCCCTCCAGCAGCTCCTCTCCAAGCCACCAGCGCAGAGAGGGGGCCGGGCTGGCCTGGGAGGAGCAGCTGCAGTGCAGACTCTCAGCCTCCCAGGAGCAGGAGGGGCCCAGCAGCTGTGGGGGGTCTGTGGGGAGGGAGGACAGGACTCAGCTGGGACCCCTTCCTGGGACCCAGCTGCCCGCTTTCCCCACTCACAGTGCACGGAGAGGCTGAGAGAGACGTGCTGGGAGCCCAGTGGGTGCTGAGCGTGGCAGGTGAACTCTCCTTCGTGCTCCATTTGAACCCGAGGCAGCTCCAGTACCGAGGGGTCTGAGGGTGGGGAGGGGCTCAGGGTCTGTCCCCGCCGGGTCCAGCTCAGCCTGGCTGGGGGACTGCTGTGGGTGACACAGGCCAGGCGCAGGCTTTGGCCCTCCAGGACCGGGAGGGATGTGCCGTTTCCAAGGTTTTCCAGGACTAGAGAAGGAAGAGGCAGAATCCACGTGGTGCAGCTTGGGGCGCAGGGACCCTCCTGCGTGGGGACCCTCCAGACGCCTGGGCCCCCAGTTTAGCACCGAGAGGCCCTGGCTCCTCTGTCCCCTTGCCTACCTGTTCTGTTTGCTTGGGAAACCGTCACTCTCAGGTTCTCTGGAGGATCTGAAATGGAGACGGGACAGGCTCTAGATGGGCCAGGGGCTTCCCTCTGGGCAAAGGGAACTGTCCTGTGGGGGATAGAAGGGCACAGCAGAATCACCCACTGAGTCCCAGACACAAACTGCACGAGTCTAACAGGTAAGAAGGTCGGTCCCCTAGGCCTGGGGTTCCAGGACCCTCAGCTCTGGAGCCCTGGCTCTGCTTGTCTCAGTCCTTTCTTTGAACCAGTAGCCATAAGCTGGGGTAGACTCTGTCCAGTCCTTTTGGGAGTAGGAGAAAGAGCAGGATAGAGACACACAGGCCCTCAGGCACCGTCACTGACCTCTGCACTTGGATCCAGCCCCTGTGTCCCCACCCGTCCTGCCCTCCCAGATGGACTCCGGGCCCCTGCTGGGCACTCACACTGCACAGAGAGGTCCAGGGCTCGCTGCTGGGAGCCAAGCCTGTTCTCCGCTCGGCAGGTGTAGCGGCCTGAATCCCCGGCCTTCACCCGGGGAAGCTCCAGCCCCAGGGTTCTGGGGCCCCAGGGGTGGGACCAGGAGAGGACTCTGTCCTGCAGCACCCAGCTCAGCGTGGCGGGGGGCTGGCTGTCAGCAGCACAGAGGAGCCTCAGGAACTGGCCTTTCTGGGCTTCCAGGTGTGGGACATTTCCCTGGGGCTGGGGCTCCAGGGCTGGAAAGAGAGAAAAAAAAGAGAGGGAGGGAGAGAGAGAGAGAAGGGGTACAGGGAGGAGCACATCCTCTCATCCCCTGAAGCTTTTTCATCCCCTAAAGAGGACTGGCCCAGCCCCAGCCTGATGGCCCTCAGTACCTGGCGTGTTGTCACGGGAAATGCTGATAACAACGTCTCTGGGGGCGTCTGCAACAAGATTGTGAGCTGGCTTCAGGGAGGGACAGTTAGTTCCACAATCAAAAAAGTTCCCCCGGGGAAAATAAAGTGAGACTATCCCAGAAGACAAGTGACAGCCAGCACCGGGGCTCACGCGTGTGGACAGGACCAGACGCCATTCCCATCCCTTCCCAGGGCTTCCTCTCCCTGGACCCTCCTGAGCTGGGAGCCGCTCACTGCCCCGCTGGGCTCCACCTCCCCACCCCCGGGGTCTGTCTGCAGGCCCCACAGTCCGAGGCCACACTCACAGGCCACGCGGAGTTGGACGGTCCTCTGTGCGCTCACACCCGTTCTGGAGAAGTCCACATGGCAGGTGAGGTCGGTGTCGTGGTCCTGGGGTCTGGGCGTGAAGCTGAGCACTGAGAAGTGGGGGCTGCTTGGTCTGGTTCTTCTGGAGGAGAGGGCAGCCCCCGTCCAGGAGAAAGAAGGGAGTGGACAGTTCTCGAAGGCCCAGTTAAACACACAGATGACCGTCACTGGCCGCCCAGGCTCCAGGGTCTCGGGGATGTAGACATCAGGCTTCTGAGTCAGGGCTGGGACAGAGACAGGGTGGGGGTGCTAGTGCTGCAGGGGTCCCCGAGAGTCCTCTCTGCTCAGCCCATGCCCAGGGTCCCTCCCCAGTGTGAGAGGCAGGAGTTCCCACCCCATTCCATACCTATTACGTTTAGATGGAACGCGTTCAAGAAGTTGAATTTCACGTAGCTTCCTCTCTCCACCCGAAACAAGTACACTCCCATGTCCTGCATCTGTGCGTCTCTGATCACCAAGGAGCAGCTCCCCCTGCCGGGGTCCCCTGTGAGCTGGAATCGGTCCCGTGTGCTCATGTCCACCTCTCGATTCGGGTTGTTTGTGGCCACAGGAGCATCCTTGCTTGTCTCAGCCCTTTCTCGGAACCAGTAGCCATAAGCTGGGGTAGACTCTGTCCAGTCCCTTCGCGGGTAGGAGAGGTTGCAAGGCACAGAGACACACAGGCCCTCTGGCACTGTCACCGACCTCTGCACTTGGATTGAGAAGCTCCCATCCATAGCCTGGGGCCCTGTGGGGAGACAGAGGCTCAACCTGCAACCCCAGGCCTAGCTCTGCCCCAGGGTCCTTTCTGGCCCTCAGCCCACTCACCGCCCAGCAGTGAGGACAGCAGCAGCAGCGGCAGTAGCATCTCGGCATAAGAGGCACAGGACCTGCCTGAGACAGGCCTATTTTCTGGTGGTGCTGTGAATGGCTCAGGGCTCTTGGCAGAAGTGGGGAGCCGAGGGCGGAAGCTGAGCCCTGGGGCTTGATGCGTGAAATGAGTTTCAGATCCTGAGGTCACAGGACTCCTTTCCCTTCCTCGGTATTCCCCTGTCCACCTTGCCCGCTTGTCTTCTGGGTCTCCTGGGGGCCCAGCCTGACCTTGGGCTTGTTGAGCTGGTCCTTCCAGAGCTCCCAGTGCAGGAGGGGAGGGCAGGCTTATGTCTGGCCTGGGGGCCTGGCTGTGGGTAGAGCAGTAGGGTGGGGGCTCTCCCTCTGGGCCATGGGTCATTGAAAAAGCAGAAGTGAAAGTCCACAGTGAGCTCCCCTTGTCTGGGTAACTGGTGGTGGAGACGGTGGGTACAGGGCAAGGGACAGTTGCTGGAGGGGGCTGGTCTTGTCAGATAAAATGCAAGATGTCTGGTGAAAGCTGAATTTCACAGAAAAGATAAATTAAATTTTTATTTTTACTTTTTAGTATAAATATGTCCTGAATGCTGCATGGGATATACTTATACCAAAAAGCAATATAAATTTGTTTATCTGAAATTCAAATTATTTTTTGAGACAGAGCCTTACTCTGTAGCCCAGGCTGGTATGAGAAGTGGCATGATCTCTGCTCACTGCAACCTCTGCCTCCTGGACTCAAATGATTCTCCTGCCTCAGCCTCTCCAGTACCTGGGGTTACAGGCGCCCGCCACCACACCGAGCTAATTTTTGTATTTTTAGTAGAGACAGGGTTTCACCATGTTGGCCAGGATGGTTTCAAACTCCTGATGTCAAGTGATCTGTCCGCCTTGGCCTCCCAAAATGCTGGGATTCCAGGTGTGAGCCAACTCACCTGGCTTAAGATTCCAATTTAGCTGGGCACGGTGGCTCAAGCCTGTAATCCCAGTACTTTGGGAGGCCGAGGCGGGTGGATCACGAGGTCGAGAGATCGAGACCATCCTGGTCAACATGGTGAAACCCCATCTCTACTAAAAATACAAAAAAACTAGCTGGGCGTGGTGGCGTGTGCCTGTAATCCCAGCTACTCAGGAGGCTGAGGCAGGAGAATTGCCTGAGCCCAGGAGGCGGAGGTTGCGGTGAGCCGAGATCGCGCCATTGCACTCCAGCCTGGGTAACAAGAGCGGAACTCCGTCTCAAAAAAAAAAAAAAAAAAAAAAGATTCCAATTTAACTGAGCATGTTGAAATTTCTTTTTTTCTAAACCTGGCCACCCTAGGGTGGTATCAGCCTCAGCCCTTCATTGCAGGCTCCAGCCCCACAGGGTCCAGTGGGTGTTTTTTTGCGTGCAGAGACAATAGATCACAGGAAAGAAAGACACAAGAATCAGGGATAAGAGAATTCAGCTGGGCCCGGGGGACCACTACTACCTAGGCGTAGAGTCCAGTAGTGGCCCCGAATGCTGGGACATGTTGATATTGAATGTATACAAGGCAGGGGGCAGGGTAAGGAGAGTGAATCATCTGACGTGATTGACAGGGTCAAACAAATCACATGCTTACAGAACAGGGGGCCTTCCCTTTCAGGCGGCCGCTGCAAGGAGGGGAGGCACACGCTTCAGCATCTTTCTATGCACTTGTCAGAAAGATCAAAGGCTTTTAGGAGTCCGCTATTCTTCTCACACCTTCTAAGAACTTAAAAAGAGCTCCGGGTGAGAAAGTGGAACATGAAAGTGGACAAGGATGGTGACTGTCGGACCACAGCACCACGGAGAGGCATTTAAGCCACTGGATGTCTGCAGGCCGGCCTGGCTAATGTCAGGCCTTCCTCGAGAGCCGCGCAGAGCAGAGTGCTCTCTGAACTCCCCCAGTGAAAGGGAAACTCCCCTTCATGGCCTGCTAAGTAATGGGTGCCTTCCCAGGTGCTGGCTCTACCACAGGGTTCTCACTCTCACCTCCTGATCACTTCTCACAATGTCCCTTCTGTTCCTAATTGTATTTCACCTGGTTGTTCTTATAAGACTAAAATGATTCTATGCTATAATACTAAAGCAAAGATTAATAAAGAATAATGATTTAATAAGATTGATTATATAATTGATTATGTGATTGTTTCTAAATATATTTGGTATCATTGCTAAAACTAAGTAATCCGTTATCGATTATACTGGGACAGATTGTGCCTTCAGTCTCTTGCCTTGGCACCTGGGCAACTTTCTTCCCACACTTCATGCTTCCTGGTGAGCTCTTGATCGTTGCTCCCCAGAAGCATCCTCCGGCCCCCACCAGGCCTCAGTCCACTTCCCAGTCTCCCTTCCTCCTCTGTCATTCAACTGGAACATCCATCGGGATTAGAACACATATGCCCAAAAGTAATGCTGATGCGAGAAGTTTGAGGAAAGGCGGGAGTCGGGGGCGGGGTGTGGGAAACAGATTAGGGAAGCAGGACTTTGCAATGAGTGGTGTAAACTCTACAAGATGTTGTCCATTCACTGAGCTGTTCCTGACATGACGCTGTGTGGGTCACACAGAGACACAGAACTCCTCCTTCAACCTCCATGCACCTTGGGTACCAGGTGCTGAGCTTTCGAGGGACTTTGAGGTGAATACTCCATGGTGGGTCACCTCCAGGACCCCAGGTTGGTAAATGAAGATTTCTAGAAACAGGAAAGCATAGAAGGGCCCCTTAAATGACCCAGATGCTGGACAGACATTTAAGATGGGACCTGGGCTGGGGATGGAGCGGTCAGCTCTTCCTGGTGGAGGGAAGTCAGGAGAGGCCTCCTGGAAGAGGCAACCCAGCCCTTGCCCTGTCTTGGTTCTTTCGTCCATGACATTTTTGTTTTTGGTTTTGACATAAGGTCTTGCCCTGTTGCCCAGGCTGGAGTGCAGTGGTGTGATCATGGCTCACTGCAGCCTCAATCCTAAGGGCTCAAGTGATCCTCCCACCTCGTCCACCCAACTAGCTGGGACTACAGGCATGCACCACCACACCCAGCTAATTTTTGTAGTTTCTGTAGAGACAGAGTTTCACCATGTTGGCCAGGCTGGTCTCCAACTCCTGGGCTCCAGTGATCCTCCTGCCTCAGCCTCCCAAAGTGCTGGGATTACAGGTGTGTACCATGGCCTCATCCACTGTATTAGTCGCTTGAGCTGCTGTCACAGCGTGCCACAGACAGAAGGGCTGAAACAATCCTTAACACTGACCTCCTCACACTTCTGGGCTAGATGTCCAAAACCAAGGCGTGCTTCCTTCCGAGACCTCTGCCTGGCTTCTAGATGCCATTCCTCCCTGTGTCCTCACATGGTCGTCCCTCTCTGGGTGTCTGTTTCCTCAGCTCCTGCTCTGATAAGAACTTACAAGAACTCATGCCATATTGAACTAGGCCCACTCTAGTCCAAATGAGTGACCTCATTTCAGTTGGCCCTCAGTATGCACGGGTCCCACATGCTGGGATTCAACCACCTGCCCATCAAGGCATTCAAATACAAAACCGACAAAAGCCAACGTAACCACAAAAAACAGCACGAATTAAAAAAAAAAAGTGTAACAGCTATTTACACAGTATTACATTGCAACAGGTATCATAAGTAACCTGGAGATGGGAGGATGTGCAGAAGTCCCACACAAACACTACTGGGTGAGGGAGCTGAGCATCATGGATTTGGTATCCAAGGGGCAGGGGTCCTGGAATCAATCCCCCACACATACAGCAGAATGACTGTATCGCTTTACTCTGTCTGCAAGTACTTAGGTACTGGAGGGTGGGACTTCAACACAGAAATTTGGTGAGGGGAAGGGGAATACAATTCAGACCCTAATAATATTCACCTTCCTTTTTTTTTTTTTTTTTTTAGAAAGAGAGGGTCGTTCTGTTGCTCAGGCTGGAGTGCAGTGACACGATCTCACTGCAACCTCCACCTCCCAGGTTCGAGCAATTCCCTGCCTCAGCCTCCCAAGTAGCTGGGATTACAGGCACCTGCCGCCATGACCAGCTAATTTTTGTATTTTCAGTAGAGACGGGGTTTCACCGTGTTGTCCTGGCTGGTTTTGAACTCATGACCTCAGGTGATCCATCTGCCTCAGCCTCCCAAAGTGCTGGGATTACAGGTGTGAGCCACCTCACCTAGCTTGCCCTTCCCTTTGATCCCTGCTTCCCTGTGACTTAACCTGAGCCTTCTCTGGGGACACCAGCCTCCTTCCCCCAGGGGAGCTCTTGTATTGGCGGTACATCACCGCCTTCCTCTCCACAGAGCTCAGAAAAGGGCCTCTCCCAGGGAGGAGTGAGGGGAGCAAGGGTGCCTGGGTCCTGGTGGGGGCGGGGGGGTTCCTTAACAAGCTGACCCCTAAGGCCCCAATCTGGGCCCAGTCCCACCTCTGCCTTTGAGCATTTCACACGCATGGGACCAGCTGACAGGAGCCAGGAGGGCGGCACAGTCTCCTCCTCCCACGGGTTTCTCAACATGGCTGCCCCCTCCCATTCCCCCTCTGTCCGTGGTTTCTGTGGTCTCCTCCTGCGAGGCCAGAGCCCCCATCACCCCCTCCTTTTGCTCCCAGCCTCGGTCAGGCAGGACTGGAGAGGCTGCCTGGGGCCCCGGGACTCATTTCTGGTCAGCCTCATGCTTGTCTTCTCCCCTGAGATGGTTCTCGCCTGAGCTGCTTCCCTCCAAAGCCAGATCCCCAGCCCCGCCATCCGCCCCCGCCTCTCCTTCATTCATCAGGTGGTGCGCGCCTGCTCTTCACCCTTAATGCCACACGGAGGGACTCAGAAGGCCCCAACCAGGCTCCAGACCCCGGACCTGCATAAGGGCACAGGTGGGCGCTGGGAGGAAGGGCGGGGACGGTGGGAGGTGCGGGAGAGACAGGCGGGGGCCCTGAAAGGATCCCACCCTAGGGAGCGCAGGTGTGGCCTGGGGACCGCGTCCTGAGGAGGGAGGGGCGAGGATGGAGAGCCCAGGAGTGGCTGCAGCTGAGACCCCGAGGGAGCCCAGGAGTCTTTGCGGGGGAGAAGGGGGATATGACCCTTCCCTGACCAGCGCAGAAAGCTTTGCCGGGAGAAGGGGGACCCGAACTTCCCTGACCAGCGTCTTTGCGCTCCCTGGGCTCGGAGCTGGTCCCGGGTTCCTCCTCCCACCCCGGACTGTGCCGCAGTTCAGGACGCCGTCCCCAGAGGGTGCTACAATCCCAGCGCAGGCGCCGCAGACCCTGGAACCTGCGCTGTCCATGGTCCTGCAGGCAGGAGGCTACCAGGGGAACAAATCCCAGACTCGGGACACTTTTGCAGAGAGCACTCTCCA